ACACCTGTAACTGCTTCTGCCGGTTCTTCGGCGTGATCTTGCTTCGCTCGTTCCATGTCTTGCGGAAGATACAAATACCAGGTTTACTCTGCTGCGACGAAATACACGGGGATTGTCTCGCAGTAAAAAGCGTACCAGCGCCAAGGCAGCAGCGCCACATGCACCCCCGACTCTTGTCGGAAAACATGCCAAGACAAACAAACAAAATGCACCATAAACGCTCGCGCGCGCCGAGCATGAGGTAGCTGACGTCGGCCAGCATTGGCTTCTTGAGGTTGTCGGTGAAAGCAGTCCGACAAAGAAAAGAGAGCCAAACACCTCTCTCGAAACCCACAAGCAGGCGAGCCGAGGCCACGCCCGGATGTGATAACATAGAAAGGAACATACAGCGCCAACCGAGTCGTGCTGCTACCGCCACCGCCACCGCCACTGCTCCTTACAAGCCCCCTAAAAGTTACTTACTCCGACCGATTCATACACAGACGCTCGTCATCTTCAAACCGGCCGCCACGAGTCCACGTCTCCGATAATGTTGTCATCCGCCGATGCCGCGCTGGCTAGGTCAAGGAAGCTGCAGCACTCCTTGATGGGACCGTTCTCGTTGACAACTTCGTCTATGCCCATGGCTCCTCCGATGGGCTTGATGTCGCCCCCCTGGCTGACCCCGTTGCCGCGCTGGCTACCGACGTCACCGGCCAGATCCTCCGGCAGGCAAATCCCGTAGGCTCCGCCGCCGTCCCCCACGCCGCCGGCAGAACGGTCTTCCGCCGCGGCCACCGCCGCCACCGCGTGAGACATGAGCTCTCCGTCGAGCGGCAGCCCTACTCCTCCCTCCTGCTGCTGCTGCTGCTGCTGCTCCCCTTGTGGGAACGCACTCGGGTTGTACTCGTACAGCAAGGGGGTCTGCTGGGCATGCAGCTGCTGGGGCTGAACCAGGAACCCTCCCACGGCGGGGGACAGACTGCTGCTGTTGGCGAACATCCTGCCGCCGCCGCCGCCGCCGCCGCCGATGTTGACGGCACTTGGAAACGGTTGCGAGGCAGGAATGACGTCGACCAACTGCTCCGGCTGGGGGACGTATTGCTGCTGCTGCTGCTGCAGCTGGTGGTGGTGGCGATCTAGGTCGAGCGCGCGAAGCCCGCCTTCCACTTTAACCGAGCCGCTGCCAGGGGGCTGCTGCTGCTGCTGCTGCTGCTGCTGCTGCAGGAACTGATGAGCGGCGTCCTGCTTCGGCTCGAACCAGCCCTGCTCTAACCCGGCCCGCGGCATCGCGTAGCCCGGCGTGGGAGCCGCGGGTCCCGGCCCCAAGAACATGGAGTTGCCGTGGCACGGCGGTGCACCGGCCGGTGGGAGCGGTACGCCGCCGCCACCGCCGCCGCTGCCGCCGAGCTCGTACTGCATGCCTCGGGAGAAGTGAACCGGTGGGTGATGCTCGGGGGGGAGCGGGGCCCGGGGGGGCACCGCCAACGGCGCCAACGGCGGCTGCTCGGCCATGGTGTCCAGCCCCGACTCGAAGGAAGAACACGACACCGACGCCGACGAGGAGCTGGACGAAGACAACTCCCGACTCTGCCGTGCGGTCGTAGACGTCCCCGTAGACTTCTTGGGGGCCCGCCGTACGGGGGAGGGGATCGACCCCGACCTGCCACTAGACGGAGAGCCCGACAATACCTTGCGCTGGAGAGCCTTGCATCGGATCTTGATGCTGTTCTCCGTGCGGCCCGGGAGGCGAGCGGCGATTTGGCTCCACCTGTTGCCAAGCTCAGCCTGGGTCTCGATGATGATGTTGTCCTCCTCCTCCGTGTAAGCGCCTTTGTTGATGCTGGGGTCCAGGTGGTGGCACCAGCGTTCTCGGCACTGTTTGCTGGTTCTCCCTGCGTTTTTCGGGTCGTGACGTCATCATGTTTTCGTGTCCCCATCACGAGCGTGGACGCACGAACAGAATCGAGAGCGGCGGGGAGCAACAAAAAAGGTGGCGAGGTTGGCGAGGCGCGAGGACGGAGCGAGCAGATGCGGCAGGGTTCGGCCTCAAGGTGTAGGAGAGGAGGGGGTAGGCCCCTTATATATACCCACACGGGTCGCCTCCGCTTGTTTCGTGTTTCGTTGCCGTACGCGTCCAAACTGGCCAGCCCTGACTCTCTCGTCACATCTGGTACCCTTGTAAACAGAGAGGGGACTCATTTTTCCCTTGGCAATCAAGTCCGCGCTCTGTCTGACAAACCTTGACAGAAACAAGCCGGATGTACAGTATGTACACAGCAGTAATGCATGTCACCTCAGAAGGTCTCGTAGATTGTGACGTGTCAGATGTCAGATGGCCTGTCGGAGATCTACATTCGGTGCTGGAAAAGAGCCAGCAGACACGCTGAACCCGCGGGCAATTTACAGCTGCCCAGCTGCCCTCTCTCGCACGACATCGGTACCTTTCTCACGACAGGTTCACCCTGAGTGTATTCTCCACACCCCACACCCCACACCCCACAGAGAAACTTGAGCCGCAGCGGGAACCTGCAGACAACCCATATCCTGTAAGACACACACATATAAACCACATGATCGCCGATCACTCTTCCGAGCATACTGCTGAAGATACATCCACATTTTGTGGTACATACGCGCTTTGGATGAAAGGGTCACTTCTTTCCTCCACCATGACCGATTGGCACTCGCGTCCAAAACAAGGGCTGGCAAATGGAAATATGGACACCACCCCCAACACGGTTAGAATACAGGGCTGCTGCGCTGAAGTCTGTGCCAGAAGCTAGAAGCCCAGCAGAAATCATCAAACTGATACGTACTATGTGGGCTTAGGGCGAAGTACCAAGCGCCGCAAGGTCAACAAAACTCTCGAGAGCTCACCAGACATGCTCTGGGAGAGAACGCCCCAGTTCTTGAAGGGCGCTGTCGCGAGCTTCATGAGGGCCGCGTCTTCCTCCGCGTCCCACTGGCCTTTCACAAGACCAGGACGCAGCACCTGAAAATAAATAAAATAAAGAACGGCCACCGCGAGAGACGTCAACAACAACCTCACCGCGGTGTGTCCATGTGATGCTCAACAAAGGCTGGTTCACCAAAACGACCAAGCATTGCGGACTGAGAGCTTGACATCACGAGACTCGGGGTTCTCGGCACCATGTGTGTCTACCATATAGGCAGGGCGGCAGGTGTTAGAATGAGGATCACCGCCGTGTGTCCATGTGATGCTCGACAAAGGCTGGTTCACCAAAACGACCAAGCATTGCGGACTGAGAGCTTGACATCACGAGACTCGGGGTTCTCGGCACCATGTGTGTCTACCATATAGGCCGGGCGGCAGGTGTTAGAATGAGGACCCTTCACCGGCGTCTATACGCGAGTCGGATGCTAGACGCTCAAGAAGCAGAGGTCGCAAGAGGCCAGCCAGCCAGTCCTGGCGCCACACGTGCGGTTGTGGCATCGCGAACGTTCACTTACGTTAGAGAGATAACATAGAACATAGAACATAGAACATAGACCCATCCGCATGATGGCATGTCACTGGCGTCGGAGCAAAACGAGACACATACAAAACAGTGGATGAAGAAACTTCCTTCTGATGAAAGGGGGGTGGGGTGCGTATCATGTTTAAATTTAGCATGCCTTAAACGGTTTGACCACTGACCACGCGTCCTCTCGAGAGAGGACGGAGTGTTACCGAGGGAGCGGGGGAGCGCGGGGGGGGGGGAAGGAGGGTTCGCCATCGCGATCAAGCGTTGCCCACAACAGCCGAGAAACAAACATGAACAAACCAACAACACAACAGCAGGCACGAAAATATCAGATGCACACCACAGCCATGTGAGCGCCTCAGCGTCATCAGCTCCTTGGTCCTCACGTGGTGGGCAGTCTGGAGCCCGTAAAATGGTAAGGGCAGTACCTACCTACCTCGCCGTATAATTTTCGACGCGCGCTGAACCACACTGAATACAAGGGCCGACAAGAAAAGAATGTACATCGAAACCCTCAAGCGTGAACAAAAAAACGGTGACAGGGTCACCAAGGGAGAACTCTTTTTCGGATGAAGCGGCATGTTTCTGGATCGTTGTCCGCAGTGTAGAAAAAAAAAGGCAACCAAGTTCATGTTGAAGCTTATCGGGCGGGTTGTGGAACCACACCGACATACACTCCCGCAACAAAAGAAATAAACGATGCCTGGTCTTTTGTAGGGCCGTAAGCTTGGGGGCGCATCAGATTCATCACCTCACAAGGCCCAATTCTGGTGCCTCGGCCGGTTTTTACTAAAGCGGCGCGTTGGGAGTGCATACGTGTCCACACGTACACAAACGGCAATACACCCGCTGCGGATAGAATGTAAACAACCCGAAACACCGAAAAACAGTGCCAAATGATGGATCATGCTGTCTTCTGCAAGTTGATACGGAGATCACAAAAAAAAACACGACGTCTGCTAAGCTAAGCTATAGTAAACGCCGAATTGGTTGTCAAAAGAGCTGGTGCTGGTCGTTACCTAACGTCCACGGACTACTGCTACGGCGGCAAACGACCCAACAAACAACGGAAAAAAAATCAGCCACAAAAAATCCGAAAAAAGTATGTATACGCGAAATTGTACAAACAAGGTGTGGGTGCGCGGGCCGTCTCCAGGGTCAGAAAAGAACAGCCCGCTGCTGGTGCCGCTGGTGCATCATGTGCCAAGAGTTCACCTTCTTCCACCGCTGGAGGCACTGCACGTGGTTACGCGAGCCCACTTTGAGAGCGATCGACTTCCAGTCCTTCTCCCCGGACTCCTTGACGGCCAGAGTGAGCTTCTTGTCCTCCGCCGGCTGCCAACGCCGCGGACGCGTCGAGGCCTTCTTGCGGGTCGGGTCTCCACCGCTGTGCACACCACCGGTGGTGCTGATTGCCGCCTCCCCACGCTCCTCCTCGTCGGAGACATCATCCGTCGTATATTCTTCTTCTTCTGATGACACCCTGTCGCGGCGGGTAGGCGGGGGGGGGGGGCAGCAAGGCACAATGCGTTAGATGAGATGCTGCTGCTGCTTGCTTGCTGCGAAAGCAGCGAGCGCCCACCCCACGATTTACTTACTCTCTTGTCTTTTTTCAGAAGAAGAAAACAAGAGCAAAGGGAAAAAAACACACAGACGAAAATATTAAAGATTCTTTTCGTGACCACACCTTCCGACCGGAGATGATGATGCCGCAGGTGCGCGCATCGCACAAAATAACACGACGCCCAGGATATTGTAAAAACTAGGGCTATCGGGCGTTGCGAGAGCAACAAAGTTTACCGCTAAAACGGCGGAGCGGACAGTCGCGTTTGTCGTACGTACACCCCACACATCATGATGTGTTCATGCGGTCCTGGTATTTCGGTTGGCATCACACTCGCCGCCGGTCATTTTTTTTCGCGAGAACCCCACAGCCACAACAACAAAATGCAGAGCAGTGCATGAAGGCGTCCATCCGCGCATCAACACGTCAACACGCAAAGCCAGGCTGTCAGCGCATAGGGCGTACTTCCACGCGCGCGGGGGGCGGGGCGGGGGGGGGAGGGCGGCCGCCGCGGGCGCACGCACTCGGTTCAGCCTAGAAAAAATGAAATCACCGATCGATCGATCTGGAAAAAAAAATCCACAGCTTGTTCCCTGTTCTCCGCTCCTCTGAACTCGTAGTGAATTTTTATTGACGGACATCCGCATCCGATCAAAACAAGGTTGAAGCGTTGTGCTTTTTTTTTCGTTCCTCGGCCCCCGCTGGGTTGTGAAACGTGTCATGCGCAGCCCGGTTGCCGGGTTGCCTACAGCGGGTGTGCTACTCTGCCAGACCGTCTCACAACAGCACCCCGTCTCTCTCTCCCCCCTGGGGCTCGATCAACAACACAAGACCGGGCACGGCTTGTCAAGACCAGCGAGCGGCATGTCATTCTGGTCAGACCAGACCACGAACACAGACGATGATCATCGTGTCTTCGGCGGGGAACATGATGCGATGATGATCATCATCCACAGCAGCCACCACACGGACGGAGAGATCAGACGGCGACCGCCTAGGGAGGGGAACAGCCGACAGAGGCAGGTGGCTGGAGAGAGGTCCGCGGCGGGAGAGGCGCGCCGTCCACACCCTCAATCTGTTGTCTGTCTGCTGCCATTGTGGGCTCTGGCGCAATCACCAACGGACCGGTGACACATTGCCTCTTGGTCGTTCTTCAAGAGCGGGACGCCAACCAGAGAGCGAGACAGACACACACCTGTTTTCCAAACCGAGAGGTGCGAGCTTACCTTCTGCGCCGCGCCTCTCCGGGCTCGTGGCGCTTGCCGCGGCCTTCGGCCGCTTCCTCCTGAGTGGTCGTCTCGAGGCACCTCTTGAGCTGCGAGCGCGCCTGGCCGCTCTTGCTTGCCGCAGAGCACGCGCCGCGCTGCTGCTGTGCGGAGCGGTCGCTGCACCGCCCCTTCCTACTCATCACGAGTGCGCGAGAACTCCGGGGTTCGAAACGTGGGTAAAAGCTGGGCGCTCCCTTGGCTCGAGAGGTTGGGCGTGGGCTCGGTTGTTTTATTTTTGGCGAGGGTCGAAAGGGTTGGGGAAGCTAGTGCGGACGTTTTAGACTGCAGAGAGCACCGAGACATGCGAGACATGATAGGGGGGACGACAGCTTGGATGATACTATTTTTTTGGGGGAGAGATTCAGCCAGTTCTTCTGGAGATTTTTTGAGCTGGGATCCGACACACGCAGCAGTACTTTCCCTCTGCGACCCCATTTTGCTTGAGAGAGGAGGAAAAAACACAACAGCAGTTAGCCGCAAGAACCATCCATCGCCACGGGTAGAAGTGAAGCAGGTGAAACAATAGAGTGATCCCGCTTTCCGACGCGTGGCTTTGGGTTGCATGCATGTAACTGGCTGCAGGTGTTGACAGAGGGTTAATTCTTTACCTTTACGTAAGATACCACACCCCTAAATCGTCGAGGTGTGCGATATAACAAGTAGCTGTCTTTGCGAACCGCTGCTGCTGCTGTGTTTCTAGGCTGCTTGGTGTGGGTTGTCAGCTGTCAAAGCTGGCGACCTTTGGAAGCCAGCCTTTCTCTAGCCCTTTTCAAGGTTTTCCCCAAACTTCACCGTTTTCGACACAAAAATATACTTCAAAATACAAGTGGCATAGCAACAAAACATTCGTGCCTTGGTCTGTGCTGGGTGTACTGATCTTTGTGCATGTGATCTCATCCAAGGCAGAAGCAGAGCGCAGGCGCGTAAATATAGAAGACAAAGAAAGGGGGGGGGAGAGAGAGCACGCGAGGGGGGAGTGAGAGACACACGAAGTAAGGGTGTATGATGAGGTGTATGAGAGGTGCTGGGAGAAAAAAAGGAGCACCCTTCTATTGTATGTAGCTGATGTATAAACACCGTCTGGTGCTGCTACATTCACGCGTGCGTGTTGGAGGCACATAATAAACATTTTTTTCATACTTTCCTCCCAGATCCAGATCGTCCTCGGCCAGCAGAAACAGCTTTTGGTTGTTAAATGGGACCCTGCGAAGGGTCGCTTTTTTTCCCGTAGGATGGTGCATCCGCTTTTCCTCAGCAGCTTTCGGTGAGGTTGAGATCCAAATTTCCTGCAACCTCCAAAGAGATCCTCTGCAAACTTTCATCGTCGCAAGCTTGATCAGTGTACCACGGCAGTCAGCGCTGAAGGTAGCTCTGATCCTTGATTCTCCTCAACGAACTTTTAAGATAAGATTCGTTCCCGTCGGGAGTTTGCTCTCAACAACTTTGGAGGTAGACATGCATAGCATGCCCAGCTGCTACGATCTAGAGCGTCGCTGGAACGACCGTGCCCTAGCGGACGATGACGATTTATTCAAGCCTTCAATGCTACCTACATTAGGCCTTGCTTCAGGTTTATGTTTCTCATGAATGAGTGGACCGGGACGGCGTTGACTGCTGTTGTATTCCTCAATCTCCGGCGATAGGGGTCATATTGACCCGAAACAAAAGCGCACAATACAACCACCCTCCTTCGTCCCACCGATCGGTCATAAAAGAAAATAAACGGGAACGAACGATGTCGCGAATGACGGCAGGAAATCGAGTCGCCGGTTGCAGCCGTCTTCGTGGCGAGGTCGACCAAGGTACCGTAGAGCGAAATACGGAGTGCCCTACATGCAACAACTATCCTGCCACGCTCGTCAAGCTCCTCCTTTCGGCGTGGACCTACAGCAACTTCGCCACAGAAATGCGCCTTTAGAACCGCGCGAACGTGGAATGTTCTGACAACACAGCAGTTGCTGCTATCATCCAGGCTTACTCGACACTTTGTTGTGATATGTACGTCGAGTTGTTCTCCAACGGGGCTTAGTCGACCTCCGCGCGCTTGCATTTTGAGAAAACAGACAGGTGTTCCGATACAGAGACAGAGAAAGAGACGTATTTATAGGGAGAGAGAGAGAGAGAGGTGGGAAGGAGGGACGAGCAGGCCTATTCCACGAGCTACTGCTGCTGCTGCTGCTGCTGCTGTCGCCCTGCCGTGGAAATGCTGCATCCCGCGGCGGGTGCCGGCAGAAGAGAGAGCCCGAGGCTGGATGTCACAGTCCGCGCTAAGTCTCCCGAAGGCGTCTGTGTGGAATCTCACCGCGCCAGCTATGTCAGGTAGCTTGTCTTCTGGGGACAGTCACACCCCGTGAACCCCTCGGGTAGAGGGGGGCGAATCTCCAGAACGTTACCCTAGGGTAAATTAGGGACCGAAGAGGAGGCAAGAGTACCTGTGAAGGTCCTTGTTTTTCTTGTGTTGCGTGGTTTCTCGAGGAACACGTCCGAGCTACTCGTGCGCATGTTCAGATGACGGTTGTCGAAAAATGCTGGGGCATGCCAACAAGCTCATGACCCAGGTGGGCCTCTTTGTCATGGTGGGGGCCTAATATTTGAGAGCGCCCAATGCCTATGCCGCCTTTCACTGTGTGATGTCCTCTAACCCCCGGACCGTCACCATACATGTATGCCTAATCTACCGCTTGCCATCGCTGTTGTTGCTGCTGCTGCCACATGTCCCTGCGTACGTTCTGTTCTACGTCCCCTGCTGATGCACGCCTAACTTTCGGTAGGACCCATGCGCAACGTGCACTGCTTTTAACCGCCTCTCCGCCATAGGCGTGTACAACAGCTTTTCAGGACACTTTCATGCCCGTTCTTGCTCCACGTCCGGCCCGTTCGGCATCAGGTTTGAAGCGACAGAGGACCTCCATGCTGCTGCTGTTGTTGCCGTCGTGTGTTTTTTTTCTCGTTGGCGCAGGCAACGTCAAGCTCGACACGGTTATCTTGGCGCCGCGGGAGAGCTTCATGCGGGCATCGTTGAACTGTGAGGTTTTCTCGTGATGTTGGCGCCCTTGAGACTGTTTTTACTCTTGCGCTGCTCAAGTTGTGCGGTGACATCGTGTTTTCCAACGGTTCCATGCGGCGGGGTGGGTGCCTATTTACCGTACGTACATAGCACACGCATCCTGCGTGGATTGGTTTTGTTTTCCGTGCTTTCGGCGATTGGGTGCAATGAACTGCGGGTTGTGCGTCGCCAGGACTTGGATATTGTTGGTCACATACGTACTCAGCACTTGAACGGTCCCCCTCGCATTCTGTTTCTTTCGGAACATGGTGCGGACCGTCGCGCATCCTTCCCCCGAAGTGTAACAGGAGGTGTCCTACGTCCCCCCGCCCTAACGACAACCCCGCTCTTCCGCGCTCTCTGTTTTCTTGCTCCCACAGCCTTGCAAACGAGATCCTGGATGACCTGTTGGAGGGGTCTTGCGGGGAGATGGACTCCGTGGTCGTCGGCTTAGCTGCCGTCTCCGTCAGAGACAGCGTGTCTTGAAGAGCAAAAGGCCGGGAGAGGCACTGCTGCTGCTGCTGTCTCTTCTTCTTTTGTGTATCTCCGGGAAGGAACACAGCTGTGTGTGCATAGATAGCTGGAGAGGAAGGGACTGGCGGTGATGTGACTGACCTTCGCGGGTAAAGCAAGAGCCGTGTTGAGCAGAGGTGCGGGTTGACACTCCTCCTCCTCCTCCTCCCGTCATCGCCGTACAGAGAGAGTCCTGGAGGGACAAGGGACTCGATAGATACAAGTAGGCGGGCGGAGTAGACAGAGAGACCTGGCCCCACTTACGGTGGCCCTTAGGGAGACAATGTAACACATGAGATATATATATATAGGTTCGCAGAGTCTTGTCTTTACTGTTTAATACGTATGAATAGCCCCGATTTTGCTGTAGATAGTACTATCATTAGCGTGCGTTATTCTCAATTTCCTTTTTGATGCATTACAAGTACTTTATTTAGTATAGTAGCTCGTTTGTTGCCGTGCTCTTAGTTCTAGGAAGTGTGCAGTTTTCGGGGTGCCTTTCGTCCCGTGCGAGGTTTGTGTCGCGTCAGGTTGAGGTACTGAGGTACAGCGATCGACGTAAGTCTAACGCAACCCGTGCAGCGCCAACTCTCCTGTCGGGGGAGAACTCTATAATTATGATCTCTTGCCTTTTTTTTGCCAATCGGGGTGCTGTTGATGAAAGAGAGACGGACAGAGATTTGTTTTTTGTCTTGTGGCAAGGTCCCGCCCCCCAAATGTAGTAGCGTGTTTGCTGGTCGACCCAAAGGCTGTTATTTCGGATCTACAGTAGTGCCTCTTGATCTACCCCAACTCCCGCTTGAGAAATCAATTGCCATAGACCGTCGTGGAATGAACCATAACATGACGACAGGCCTGAGAGACACGGTTCCTGCCATGCAAACTGCGGTCGATCGTTGCGGAGCGCTGTCTGCTACACTGCTGCTGCTTGTCTAGTCATGCATGGCCTACGGCGACCTCTGGTGTTGTTGCAAGAAGGCTACTGAGGACCGGGCGTTTCGTGCCGTTATGTCGTAGATACCGGCTTTATCCTACATTCCTTTGGCTTGGATTTTCACCGTTTTTTGCCCCTGGTCGTACTTGTTCGAGTCCTCAGCTTGAAGAGAGTGGTGCGTCCCGGACAATTTGTCCACTGGCGTATCGTGCGATAACTTTCAAAACATGTCGAATTAGACAGAGTTTCAGCCACGATAGTAACCCCCACATCAAAGCAAACAACAAAGGTTTCAACCAAAATGGAAATTGCACCACACTAACTTCAAGTTGTTTTGCTGACAGAAATGTTGAAGACTGGAGAAAAATCTCAGGTTTACACACAATCAACGTGGAATTTCTCGCGGAATTTCGTTTTTAGGAAAAATCGGAAAAAGGCACCATCTGTGGAACTTCGAGAGGAATCGTTTGCCGCATTCTATCCTAAAATCGTGAAATTGGCTCTCGCAGAAGTTCTTGAACAAAGTACCCTTCCGGATCCAGTTTGTGGGGTATTTCTCGGGAAATTTAGGTTTTAATTTAGGAAAAATCAGAAAAATGCACCATCTGCGGAATTAGTCGTTTGCCGCACTCTATTCTAAAATCGTGAACTTGGTTCTCGCAGGAGATCTTGAACCATTTTTTCCGCCTATTTGGTGATGGAAGGCGAAGAGCAAACCAAAAAAAAAAATCAAACAAACCAACATACCAACATCTATCTTCCTTCTACACCTTTCCAGGATGACATGCAGAGAGAAACACAAGACGGCTACCAAACTGTCTTGTTGAGCCTGTTACCCACAGGGGAGATGTCGCTGTGTGCTGCTCAGGAAATCGTGGAAATACAGGTAGCCTTCCTCTGACGCTATGGATTCATTGCTAATCTATCTTAGACTCTTTTCTCAGGTAGAGATGGATTCGTTGTGTCATATTAAGAAAATAAAAAAAAAATCAACAGATTTGTGCGCCTGGAGACGGGGCGTTATACGGTGTTTTTGAAACATTGAACACCCTCCTCCCCTACCCCGAGAAAAGTACACCTAAGTGCACGGCGGCAAAGTGGATCGGAAGCCCCAGACGGACGTAGAGGCTTGAAAACACCCCCCAAGGGTCTTGGTAGTACTAGTGCGTTTTATTTCATTGATGCCATCTTGAAATATTTCCAGACTTGAATCCACTACAGTACACTCTCGACCGAGCGCACAAACAGCGTCATCGCAAAACCCACGATCTGTTCCTCCCGAAAGTATCGTTCTTCCAAAAAACGGTTAGGCACGGAAATGCAGAACGGCAACACGAAACGAGACGGTTCCCCGATCGCAAACAGAAAGCATTGTGCGCACCCACAGCTGTGACCTTTCGACCGCAATCGTGTCAACTTCTCTATGGGCGCCTTCAAGAAGTTGTATGCATGCTTAACGACACGACCCCCAAGAAAAACAAACATCACCCTTTCGCCGCAGAATCAAATCACGCAATCGAGTCAATTCACACAATCGTGAGCACAGAAAAACACATCCTACACGGACAACATAGACTAGTTTGTGTCCCAGTATAATGTCCGACAGGCAACAAAAATTTCGCTGAAGTGCGGAGTATGTAGGGCGGACAATTTCCCTCGGGCGAGAAGCCAGCACAACGAACGGAGGTCTATCCGGCAGACACTGTTGTTGTTGTTGTGACTGACGTGGCAATATCAAGGTTGTGAGATGAACTTCAAGAATGACCCGTCAACTACATGTACCGCTATCTCTCCTTTAGGCCGCATGTTCCGTAATTTCGCAAAAAAGTAGCACACCGTGACATATGCGTGTGTCGGCGCGTTTTTGCTTCTACACGGGTGTCTCAATATACCTCGTGTCAATATACAATACCGCCCAGCCAAATAGGCATGTTCACTGACGGCCTCTACTTGTTTTGGCAATAAAACCGCCCACACCACAGGTACACAACTTTCCGATGAGGCCCAGTTCCACAAACAGCTGCCCCGAACCTTTCAACTCGGTTCTTGTGTTTCAAAGCCCCACAAAACAACAAAGTATCACAAAATCATCGTGTGTCAGTACGTCAGGCCGAAAAACAAAACAATTCATGCAATAATATACCGGTTGCGCTTGCTTCTAGTATCTAAAACAGATACCAGGGCCGGTGTTAACGTGCGTGTTCCTGTTGCAAGGTTCTTCCCGTTTCTGGGCACGTTGCAATCAGATGCCCAACGCCGTAAGGGGATGGCTGTTCCCCGCAGTCCTCTCATTGAGCGCAAAAGAAAGAAGACAATCGTTTGCCGCCGCAATACAAGCGAGCACCCTGCGTGTGTTACCCTCTACTCTGGGGTTAGACGCCTTCTTCCTCGACGCAGTTCACGTCAAGCCGTACGCCTTGCGAATTTCCTCGTCATCTTCTGTCTGCGTCCTCTCGCGGCCGTTCGGATCGCCTTCACCTCCGGGCTTGCCGCTCGCCTACCGGTACACACGAGGACACGGATAAGAACGAGACATGAAATGAAATGGGCTTACCAGGGGAGCGGGCAAGAACGTTCATAAGAGGTACAACGAAAACTACAAGTAATAATCCAAGCAATATCCTCTCCAGCAACCAACTCTTTCAAAACGTTCCAGTGCTGTCGCCAAAACAAGCCAAGGAGACAGCAGTAGAACGGCGTAAAAACGCGTGGGATATGATCGGTGAAACATTCGGGGAAACCTGGGCAGCAACGTGAACAACACTGCCGTCGACGCTAATCCTCGTGAAAGAGCCACGGGCGTTTTCGACTAGTGGGGTATTAGCAGTTGCTTAGTTGTCGCTCATGCTTTGGTCGCGTTGTGGATCCCTCATGGGGTAACACCAGAGGAGAGGGCACGCGCGCCGTACAAGAGCCACAACACGCGACGTGAATGTCGAGAGTGAGCGGTGGACGTTCATGAAGTCTCTGACTCCAATGATTGATGAACGAATGAAGTATCATAACCAAGCCGGCATGGTGTAGCTTTTCGTGCCCCCGGTCAGCGCTCTCACTACCAGTTGCGCTGGAGAGAGTACTGGCACAAGTGCGGACCGTCCGTGCCGTCCGCAGCATCGAACGATTCTTAGTTTCGCGTCAAGCTTTGTACGTACGGCGAGATAGCAGGGAGGACATCGGGTTGACGTGGGGGTGATTCCGGTACCAATAGTACGTGCTTCCAAGTCCGGCAACTCTGAACCTGTTGGCTTTCAGGGCGGGAATGATTTCGTGATCATCTTCATTCACATGGCCCCACCTTCCTAGCTGATGGGCTCCGATCTGGGATCACACATCGGGAATCCTTTGCCATGCATGATTCACTCATGAAAAAAGGTTTCCTGTCCTTAACGCTAGTATTCCCACGACCAAGCGCTCTCAAACGCTTGGCAGCTGACCATCGAGATCCCAACCTTAGCCACCGAAAATCTTCGTTCTACGCTTGGAAACTCAGACACCAACTTAGCATGGGCCTCTGTATCCGTGGATGGAATTATATGATCCATTTTTGATGCCGTTACAAACCGCGGTGCCTATATTGTACGCGTATCAAATGAAAGGTACTTTCCAAGGGGTTGGAACTTTTGTCACACATGATACGGGTTGGTGTAAGATCATATTGTTATAGTCTAAGACTATTATAGTAGCGTACTAAAGCGTACATATCAGCTGGTGCAAGCCGTGGAAACCTCTACTGCCCCAGGAACTAACTGTAGACGAGACACGGTTTCTTCAAAGAAATACCCCAACCCCGAGAAAATACGTTCTGTGTGCTGTAAGCAAAGTGAATAATCCTCACCAAGACGTTTCCAGCGATAAGGAGGACCAGCCCCCCCAAGCAGGAAACAAATGCAATGTACTTCGGCTTCTTGGTGTTCACCGCAATGTAGACGAGAACCACGTATGCCTGACACGGCAGGTGCGCATCGTTCCGTTCGAGCGAGCAAGAAGGGTGGATTATTCTGAAAATGTACACATTGTCTATTGACATATTTTCAGCATATCACAACTTGTATGCATACGCCGATGTAGATTTCCTGCCGTGATGACATCCTATACAGTACAAGGTGTCCCTTCGGGACGTGGGTGTCTACCCTCCCTCAGGTGACGCAAGACCACATGCGCATTGCCCGAAGAGGGACTGTGTGTCTTACAACGCTTGTATTTCCGCACAAAACATCGCGCACGTTGTTTTTCTACATTGGAGCCAGCTCGAGCGGACAATATTTTGGCAGCGAAAACTCAGAATTCCATGACGTCTTTGATTGATGATGGCAGATTTCCGATGAGACCCAAATTTGAAGCCGAAACAACACCACAAATGGGACATGTTCAACACTGCGGCTGGATGCATGCCCTCAGACTTGTCTACACTTGGCCCGCTGCGAAATGCAGTAAACGTAGGTACTGATGTTGTTGCACAACGCGATGACACGAAGAGTCACCGCCAGCCATGGATCATCGAATGAATGAATGAAAGAACGAAATGAACGTGGAGAGGCAAGAGTCAAATATTTCAAACCGTCGTATTTGATGGGTTTGATAGGCTTCAGAATTGGTTCGCCAGGCTTTGTCAGCGCGGAACGCGTCCCCGGGGTTTTGAGCCAGTTTTCGTCACTTTGGGCGTCAACCACACGCGCCACGGAGGCCTACCGAGCTCCGGGCACGGGCGTTAATGTACCGACGAGCCTCCTGCGTGCCCCTGAGAAGGAACCGCGAGAAAAGACTCGCTGCCGCGAGAGAAAGAAACGCCGAAGCATGAAAAGTGACAAAATCTTATGTACATACAACGAACTTTACTGAGCTTTCGGCATTTCCATATCATGCAGCAATGTACGTGCTGTAAGTCGGCCTGCAACCACCCAACGAGGCCGTGTCCTGTACCGCTCCATCATGCTAAACCTTGTGATAACTGCTTGTGAGAGTTGTGGCATCCATCTGTCAAGTCTTACCCCCAATGCGACGAAGAGCAGCACCCCACAAAGCATCATCGCAAAAGCCGTCGAGCACAGCCCCCGGCTCGAGTTCCACAACCATCCGCACGGTGAGGCAGGCTCAGGTGCACCGAGCTTGTCCTTCACGACAACACGCGGGTGCGGCGTTACGACCCACGGCCTCGTACCACCAGAGTCAGGAAAGGGTGTTAGGCCTGGAGTGCGACTCATGATCGATGGGTTGAAGAAGACTACCTCTCGCGTCGAGCTATCAAAGGCGGCCGGTTTGATCCCAGCATCCGGTCGAGCCATGGCTACCAGGTTGCGTCCCAGTCAACAAAGCTATTGGTCGAGGTCTGAGGCGGACGTTCGGCTATGCAATGTGTGCAGGACTTTACACGCATGCTTCTGTTGCATAAATGCACGCGATTCTTTGCTCGGTGTTCGTTGCACAAACTGCTGTGCTGCAGGTGTGGATCGTTATCGTTTGTCGCGAAGGGTAACTACAGCAGGTGAACCCGTAATCTCGCAATCTCGCCGCATGAACTGGTAATCTCGCCGCATGTTGAAAATGTGTTGTATGATGTCTCGTGACTCCGTTCTTGGTCTTGTTTTCTACGTACCCGGTGATTGATTTGATCTCTACACTATCGCAATATCGCTGAGGCAAAGGTGTTTTTCTTGGGTCACGAGACACTTCGCGACGCATATTTTGAGCTTGGAAGCGGCGCAATTGTATTATCGTAGTTGGGTTGGTCCGAACGGTAACAAACAATGTTGTTCTTCCGTCCGTCGTTGGAAGGAAAGTTTAAATTCACGACGGTACGGCTCCACGCATGAACTCTGGATTGAAGCCTTTTACCTCTCAGATGATAATCTGTGCTGTTTTGGCCGTGCAGCGCACAGAGACCCACAACACACTTGAATGAAGATGAGAGGGCTGTCAAACATTTTATGCACCGACGGTAGACTAGACCTCATGTAGTACTGTAGTAGACGTAGGATTCTTTTCTCACGATTTCCAGGTTTGCTTCGTTTTGTGCATATTATATCTGTAATTAACAATTACTAGATTCTCCGCCGAACGTGTTCAATGGAACCTACCGTGGACGTGCATCCTTCCCGTAGTGTGGAGGACGGCAAGTTCGGAAATTCACGACCCGTGGAGGGTAAAATCAGAGGGAGGGTGCGTTTCGGTTCTTCGCACGGGGGAGATCTACGACTAAGATATACAACAACGGACGAGTTATCAAAAACTGACACAAGCTTTTGCACCAAAATTGCAGGAGGGGTGGACGGGGCCAGGAGGGACACGTCTTCCAACCCACACGAAGAGCTGTCGATGGAATCTCGAGAAACATTTACCGATGAGAAACAACTTGCTTTAGAAAAGAGACCGGAGATCGCCAACTCTAAAACCAAGTGAATAAACACAAAGTGGGGTCACGACAAGTGCGAAAAGGTGGGGTGAAAATCGAATATATGTAGGTCTGAGGATTTCCGCGACATAAAACTGAAGGCTGTAGGGCTTCAGAATTCAGTACGAAAAAGAGTCAGTGATGAGGCAGAGTACTTGAGGAACGTCGCCCAAGAAGCACCGCGAGAGACAACCCGTTCGCGAAAGCCAAACATGGGGAAAGCACACGCGCGCAAGAGAAACCTCTCTCTCTCTCTCTCTCTCTCTCTCTCTCTCTCTCTCTCTCTCTCTCTCTCTCTCTCTGTGTGTGTGATGGCCCAACTGGCTGGCCCCTCGATCATGAATGGTAAAAAATTCTTAGAAAATTCCTTCTCGTTTGTTGAGGAGGCCTAAGAAACCAGACGTCAACAACCACTTTCTCTTCCATGCTTCGAAGAAAGACAGAATTTTCGTTCCGATCGACTACACATCCACGCAGAGTAGAGATACGCTCGGCGAGCCGGCTAGACAACATACGGGGCGGCACGTGTACATCAACCAACGCATAACAATCGGGCCAACACCGGGGTGTGAAGGGATCTGAGATTAATGTTTGACCAAACTTCGGGGCCTTTCCTACGTGGGAGCCCTGTGACGGGGTTGAATTACCGCTTACCCACGTATTCTGCCCGATCGTCCCCCGACGAACAACCGTATGTACAAAACAAACAATACGGATATGGCTACAACGACAACAAGTAAGGCACCACACCAAAAACACTCCATCATAAACAAAAAAGGCACGAAAAAAACACATCAAAATCAAACGCTTTTGACAACAGATTATCACTGTTATCCTTCCGCATGCCGGGCACGTAACAGGGGACCAACGCATACGATCACGTTCATTATGATCCCCTCACCGCGCTCCCCACTCACGGAACCGCAAGATCTTGTGACGATAGCGAGGACAACAAACATAACACTCCGTCTCCGCAACATGAGACCGATAGCAACCCCAGAGGACACGTCAGCGTAGACTACACGTCACAACAAAACCAAGACGATCCTGCCCCCCCCCCAACTCCTCGATTCACGAAAATAGCTTGACTTAATACTGCTAGTCAAGAGTGCGACGACTCTGTTCAAAAACAGCTTGGTACAACGCGCCGCTCTTTACTCCTTGAGGGTGGCAATGAGCGCCCCCTCGATCACCTTGCCCCCCTCCTCGACCGCCAGCGATGCCACGGTGCCCGCGGTGGTCGCCTTGACCTGCACCTCCATCTTCATGGCGCTAACCACGGCCACCACCTCGCCCTCCGAGACGGACGACCCGACCTCCACGAGAACCTTCTCGACGACTCCCGGCATGGGGGACCCCACCTGAGATCATCACCGACAGCAGTAAAACAAAATGAGCGCAAGGAGGGACGGAGGGAGAGGAGAGTCGGGTTACAACACGTGAGGTGCTCGACAAGAGGGAGTAACCAGGAGAGGGGGTCTATCGGACACTTGGGACAGGGAAACTTTCTCACACACGCACGCACCTGTGTACGCCGGACTAAACAAAGATTGCACTGAAAAGCATCGTCATCACAACCGATGTAGTCGTGGCTCCGACACAAAACGGTACCTTGCAAGAGGGGGCTCCGATATTGAGTCGAAATCGGTTGCCACGGGCTGGACACGCTATAGCATAGTTGATAGTTGGGTGACCTCTCATTTCGGTATAAGAAGAGGGGGCTCCCATAGAAGACGGTCGAGGGCCTTTGTCACACCACCCTCGTATATCGCACTCACGACTGCAACAACAACAACAACAACAACAACGACAACCCACCTCAAGGGCGTTCCCGGCGCCCGCCATGGGCCCGTCGAAGTCGTTCCCCGACACGGAGTCCTTGATCTCGACGTTCTGCACCGCACCCCCCACGGTAAACGATACCGTCCGCATGCCCCCCTTCTTCGCCGGGCCGACGCGCTCCAGCCTGATCTTTACCTCTGTCGCTCCGTCGCCGTCGTCTCCGTCCTTGAGCAGGTCGGCCGGGTTCGCCGGGCAGATGGAGAACTCTTGCCCGACGACGAGCCCGTACCAAAAGACGGGCGTCGGCAGGCTCGTGAGGAGGGTGGAGCTCTTGTCCATCTCGTTTACGTAGTCGTCGAAAACCTTCGGTCGGTCCGGTGTAAGGCCAAAAAAAGAGCGGGAGAACGGAAGAGATGTATGGTCAAAGTCGGGGTCGGTGGCGACAGGGGAGCAACGCATCTTTTGCTCGTCGGTCCAAAGACAACTGTCGCTAACGGCCGGCCCGGCTCTCGCGAAAGAACGTTTTCGTGTGTTGGTAAAGCAGTCAAGCACATCCCGTGGTGGTTTGTGCGTGGGCTGCGTCTCCAAACAGCAGCACGTGTAACTCCCATCCCCGCCGTCCCCGCTACTTTTAAGGTCCGAAAAAGAACGGGAGTAAGGCCTGCCCGGTAACTCTCGGATTGGCTTCACAGCGCCGCCGAAACTTTGGTGTGAGGCAAGGCTACCGCGAAGACGAAAGCCACGGCCGACCGTGCTTTTCAGATCATCAGGGGTCGTCATAGGTAAGGGTTCCCCAGGGAAAGCTCACCACAATGCTCCCCCCCCCCGGGGGGGATGGATTGGGTATCGCGATCGCCCTTGGAAAGATGGGAGGCAACCATCAAAGAGACAACAACGAGACGCAAGCACGCACGCACCTTGGGGTACAGGAGGGAAGACACAACGAGCTCGTCCGTCACCTCGCCGAGCACCTGGCCGCACTTGCCCTCCCGAAGCTTCGCCTTCACGGCGGCGAAGTCGGCGGGAGGGAGGGCGGCGCTGGGCCTGGTGGTGAGGGGCTTTTTGTCACCGAGGACGGCCTTGGATACCTGCCAAGAGCAAACAAAATCATGAACAAAGACGAGACGTACAGGTTAACGTGAAAACAAGTGTGAGGGGGAGCAAAGCGCGTGGTGGGGTCGCATGTTTCGGTAGACAAAGAGAGAGAGACAAGAGACAGGTAGAGTGGCGGGAGGAAATTTTTTTCTCCTTTGTCGCGCTCGACACTCAAACCCTTCCTGCAAAAAAAATGGTCAAACGACGTCCAGGGGCGGTCGATGCTAGCTCCAACAAACGCGCGCCCGCAAAACACGCCTGTAGAACACCCTTTCCGGGGAACAACCCACAACTAGAGTGCACCCTTTCCGGGGAACAAAACACGCCTTATAGTGTACGCTTTCCGGGGCAAAAACCACGCCTAGAGTGTACCCTTTCCGGGACACGAAAACCGCGTACAGTGTACCCTTTCACAAACCATACCTAACCGATACCCCTTTTCGAGACACAAAACACAACTGCGGTGCACCCCTTCCGGGGCACCAAACACGCCTAGATAACATATTATAGCAAGCATAGCAACCCATTACCTCATCCGGGAAACCCTTGTGCGGGAAGCCGAGGCGCCCCTCCAGCAGCCCGACGACCGAGTCTGGGAAATCCACCTGCCCCTTCTTGGCGGGATCGGTCACGTCCGACGCCTTGAGGCCCCTCGTCACCAGGTACAGCGCCAGGTCGCCGACGCACTTGCTCGAGGGCGTCACCTGCGCGGAACCCCGGTCGCAATGCCGGACAGCACGTGCACCAACCATCGATATACTTATCGTAAAGATCGTCGCCGCAAAGATCATAACACTGGCCGTAGGCGGAATAGCTAGGAGCAGCCGTGCTTGTACCCTGGAACGTTACGAGTACTGTTCCCTGGAACGTTCTCCGGAAGAAGGGACGAGACGACACAGCAGTAGGGCCGAGACGCGATCGCTACTGTCGTCGTCGTTGTCACGGGGGTGGCCGCGGCTGGCGCAAGGGAACTAAAAGAAAAAGGGCTGTTGGCGTGTTTACCCCACAAAGGGGGGAGGGCAGCTCAGCATGTCGTGGTGGCTGCTCTCTCTCCCTCTTCTCTAAATAGGCGTGGTTGCTAAACGCGGGGTTTGAGTCAATTAAACATCTCTCTTCACTTCAAGCCTCGCCCGTGTCATTAACCATGTTTTCACGTCAAGCGATTGGCCGCGCCCTCGTTCCATACCTTGACGATATCGCCGAAGAGGTTGTTGACGTCGCGGTACATGTCCAGCACGCCCTCCCACTTGTCCCAGATGCCCATGCTCTTGCACTGGACCATCAGGTTCGAGTACTGCCCGCCTGCACACACGCGTTCATCAAATGAACGCGCGAGAAAATAAAGCAGGGAGGTGTGAAATGACGTTGGAGAGATGCTACCCTACCCTACAGTTTGCGAAGGGTATTTCCAAAGGGGGAAACGTGTAAATGCGCCCCGCCCGCCAGTCAAAAGAGCATAGAAGAAGAGAAAGGATAACATGCGGCGTTTAACCCCCTCTCTCAATCGTCACGGGGGTAGTTTTTTACGCATCTCTCTGTCGGTACGGCGACGGCGGTAGCACCCAAAAACAGAGCACAACCAAAGCCCGCCCGGTGCAACGGCTTAACCATCGATGCGCAGCGAGGAAAAATGTCCCGCTTTCAAGTTGATAAAAATCGTGACACAACTCTAGGGAGTATGTATTGTGCATACCAAGCCAGTCGACGTGTCATGGCCGTCATAACATGGGACCAGAGCAGCAGTGCAAGCGCTGTCCTCAGGACCAGGTGCCATTTGTCCGTAGGGTAAGAACGAACGACGAAAGAGACGCACGTACTCGACACACGTACATACGCTGGGGGAGACTTTCCCCTCCCCAAAAACAACCAAAAAACAGAAAAGAAAAAACACACGTATCCCTACAACTGCTCGACACACGTACACTGGAGAGACCCCCGGCCCAAAAACAAACAGACACATGCAACAACACTTCACCTATTTTTTACTTTCTCTATCTCGAACAAGAAATAAATATGTATCTCCCTATCTTGCCTGGGATCTGGTGGTCGAACACCCTGGCGGTGCCGCTCTTCATGCCGTTCTCAAATGGGCTGTACATGTCCCGCACCCTGCTCCAGTACACGTCGTACGGCTCGAGTCCCAGGTATCCGGTGCCCTCCGGAGCCATCTCGCTCCCCTCGGTGGACGCCAAGAAACCGTTCAGGCTGTGTAGTTCGTTTCCGGGTGTTGTGGTACGAGAGTCGATTCCGGAGAACGCCAAAACAACAGACAACGGGCACATGAGGATTAATCAATGCAGCAGTTAGTAGGTTAGAACACCAAACAATGAAACTTAGCGCGGTTTAGATTAAGAGTATAGCGGAACCTAAGAACGTGAAGAGCAAGCTTTGGTGTGCGCAGACTTCGACCAAGGAGATGAGAAGACTGCGGTTGTACCACTTTAATCTGGTGTTAAACTCGAGTGCTTCCCTCGGCCGCCGTCGGATATTTTTAGTTCTCCGTTTTTTTGTTTTTCCTTCCAAGCGTTCTACAATAGTCTCCCTACGTACGCGGTGAATAACATGTTGCCGAGGCAACCAGTGGAAGCATGCACTCTTACTTACTCTGCATCAAATCTACGCATGCATATGCATAGATCCAATGAATTATTTCAAGCAGGGCACACCTTTAACCCCAGCTTCGCCGAATCTATACAAATGCCTCATCCAACATGTTTGCTTCACTCCGTAGACTACAGCGTGCCTACTAACATTACCTCGGCTGTGAGGTGCAGTCCGCCATGGACGCCGTCGCGAAGTCGATCACGTCGCACCCCGCGCGGGCCATCTCGAGCGCCGTGGCCAGCGAGCAGGAGCTGGTGGCATGGGTGTGGAAGTGGATGGGCAGGTCGGTGACGGAGCGGATCGCCTCCACCAGCAGCGGCGCGGACCGCGGCTTTAATAGGCCGGCCATGTCCTGCACACATACACGCGCCATGACCAACGAACACACCAAGGACCGAGCCATCATCCATCCATCCATTCATCCACTAAAAAAAACATTTTCTGCGAATTTTCGTGGACAGTTAAAATAATGTGGTGGGGTTGCTGGTCATGCTGCTGTCGTTCGTGTTGCTGCTCATGGCAATGGCATTGATGATGATGATGATGATGATGATGATGATGATGATGATGATGGAAACGCAGTAAACACACCCCAACCAAAACAACCCCGGCAGCCACGTGCGTCATGCGTAATTGGGCCGCGTCTACCGCTACTATCTACAACGCTTCCCCCTCACCTTGATGCCGATCATGTGCGCCCCGGCCTCAGCGGCGCTCTTGGCCACCCCCTTGTAGTAGTCCACCGTAAATATGGACGACGTCTGCAAGTCTGACGTGTAGCACACGCACACCTTTGGCGTGTCCGATACCGACCGACCGACGATTGTTTCGACGCGAGACACAGAAAGAGGAGTTTGTTTGTTTTTCGCGTTCGGTGACAGCATGCGACAGCAGCAGTGCGTGCGTGCGTGCGTGAGTGCGTGCAGCAAGTGTGAGAAGATCAACGTGGCCGACACAGCGCGATGCGGGGGGCGGGGTGGGTGAGGGGGTTGAAAACGTTTAAAGACTTAGCCCCGTCAATAAATGCCACCAGAAGACAATACAAACGACGTTGCTGTTTTCACGCACGTTGGTCTTGCCGAGTGAACGTACACACCACTCCCCGTGTATAAAAAAAAAAATCGTCCCCTCGTGTCTCGACCTGCTGTCCCCCGCCCCATGACTCACCACAGCAACATACAACCCACCAAAAACAAATAATCCTGTATACATACAGCAGTGTATCATGTCTCGACAGCAGTAGTAATCTCGATGCGTCACCCCCCCCCCCCCCGGGACCCCGCGCGCAGCAACCTCAAAAACCTTACTACTCTCGTACACACGTATTTAGCACACATACCTCGGCAACCTTCCCGGCCTTGCGGACGGCCTCGATGCACACGCGCATCTGCTCGACGTCGTTGAAGCAGTCGAACACCCGGAACACGTCGATCCCGTTCTTCGCCGCGAGGCGGACGAACTCCGTCACCACGTTGTCCGGGTAGGACGTGTAGCCCACCGCGTTGGACCCACGGATGAGC